AGAAGTATTTGTATTTAAATTAACCAATTTTGATAGAGTTATTTATACAATATTTTTGATTTTATTGATCAATAAAACAAAGTTGGTATTCTTTGTTTTTTAAACATTTTTGTACACATTGATTGTTCTGAAAAATGGTGATTTCGTTTATCATAAAGATGCTGGTTTTGTATTAATTTAATTATAGTAAACAAAATTAATATAAATAACAAAAGGTTCCTTTTGGAAAAAGTGGATAAAATATTTTAAAAAACAAATTGTTGCATAATAATCGATAATTATTTAAACTTTTTGTAATAGTTTCACATTTAATTTTTAATTTGTTATTTAAAGAATATAGGTGTTTTCTTTGATTACAAGTAGTATTAAATAGAGTTATTTATAAATGATAAATAATAAACAATAAAGAATTAATAATTGGTAATAAGGCAAGTTCAAAATACATATTTGTTGCTTTAAATTAACTTTTATGATATATTATATTTAAAATTATTAAAATTTGGTGACATTTATCAAGTTAAAATGTAAAAATTATTAAATCAATTTTATACTTAAAAAAATGTTTAAAATACCAACGAAATAAAAAGAATGAAAAAGACGTGAATTACAACATAACAGCTTCTCTGTGTTCATTAAACGATCTTTCGAAAGTTTTACATCTTTTGGGGTTGATTTAATACGCCTCATCAATCCAACAAAGAGATCTCAAACAGAGCTCAAGAAGCTTATTCCACACCCAGTATTTTCAAAATGCGGTGTGAAAGTGTACAAACCCATTGACGTCATCAACCTTAGACCCAAATTTAAGGCGTCTTTAAATCCGGGTCAGTTGTTACATTGAGTGTGGCTTTTTTTAACAATTTTGATTTACAAAGCTTGTATTCAATTGAAAAATATCCCAATGACACTCTGAACGACATAATAAATATACACCTCTATTGAGTTCTTTGTTGTCTCAAGTCTTTTTTATCGTAATTAAATCGCGTTTTCAAGTTTTTGTTAATCGAGTGGGAGTGACATCAAAAGGAGTAATATTTTATTTCCAAATTGTATCGTAGGCTCATACATCTGTAAGTTCGCAGCAACATAGAAATTGACTTCAGTCTCATTTCCATCCTTCTCTTTCACAAATTCGCCAAACTTGTCTGTCGTACAAGAGAATAGCAACGTATTTTAATTCCCACCAAACTGCTTAACAACTTTTTAAAAGAGTCAACAGAAGACATCTTTTCCCCCAAAGCACTGTTGTTTTCCACTCAACTTCTTCCTCAAACACTTCATGTTGTCGTTATATGCAAAGAATACTCCTGACATATAGGTGGGAATGAGCGAAATTTGTTTCACTCTGGTTTAGTTCCCTTTTGGTTGTTTTCTCGATGTCAGTGCGGCAAGTTTTCAATTTCCTTGTTGATCTCCAAGAAGTGGTACTTTG